TGGCAGTAGCGGCGGTGGCGGCGGAGGCAGTGATATTGGAGGTGGGAAAGGCAGCGGAAATGTGATGACGCCCACCTCGGCTGACGTCCGCCTGGGTGCCTCCAGCAAGGAGGACGTCATTGAGGAGGATGGCTCTTCAGTCGGCGACAAGGATATGCCCGATCCGTCGAAGATGCCTAAAAGGCGAAAAGAGTAAGTGAAAAAAAACTCGTTTAGTTTTGTTTTTGCTAACCAGCTCAACTTTACCCTACTTTGCAGTAGCATGACGGCGCTCATTGCCTCCTACCTCTTACCTGACTCACTCTGCCAGAGGTTTGGCTCTAGTCTCAGCTCTGATCGCATTCACCAATCTTCTGCCAACGTAAGCGAAACTGGTGCTCAACCAAAAAGTGCTCCCTTTAACTATTGTTTTCCACTCTCTTTGCAGGCACACGCATCTCGAAGCATATCACCTCGGTCAATCTTTNCCTGACTCACTCTGCCAGAGGTTTGGCTCTAGTCTCAGCTCTGATCGCATTCACCAATCTTCTGCCAACGTAAGCGAAACTGGTGCTCAACCAAAAAGTGCTCCCTTTAACTATTGTTTTCCACTCTCTTTGCAGGCACACGCATCTCGAAGCATATCACCTCGGTCAATCTTTTCCTCCAAGCCCAAGTCCTCCTCCGCCAATGACACTCGTCGTGCGGCGGAAAAGAGCGAGAAGACCCGCTCCTCTAAGCCGGGCACCTCTTCCACCACAACTTCAAACGCAGCAACACAACAGCAGCCCCCGCCANTTGCAGGCACACGCATCTCGAAGCATATCACCTCGGTCAATCTTTTCCTCCAAGCCCAAGTCCTCCTCCGCCAATGACACTCGTCGTGCGGCGGAAAAGAGCGAGAAGACCCGCTCCTCTAAGCCGGGCACTTCTTCCACCACAACTTCAAGCGCAGCAACACAACAGCAGCCCCCTCCGCCTCGCAACCGAAAGGGCAGCATTGCTCAGATCACCTCCGCCTCTGCGACTCGTTTCGTGCGACTGCTGCGACGGACGCACAGCGCCGGCTGCAGCAAAGACGTGCCCGCCTATGCGCAGTTCCTCAAGGAGGAGAAGTCATCCGCAAGGGTAAGATGTTGTTTACTTTTATTGTCATTTGTCTAGCTGCTCAAACAGTCGGTCAGATCAGATCAGCGAGGGCACTAGTGGATTGTGGGAAGGAGCAGAAAAAACGAAGAGAAGAAGAACTTGACTGTTTGAACATCGAATGTGTGCGTGTAGTCGATGGATGAGTGGGTTGAGTGCTGCTGAAGGCGAACTCACTTTTCAGAGTACTTCTTACTTTGAATAGAATTGGGGGTACTAGTGCTCGCTGAGCCGGCGCCAGAAGAGGCTGGTCCGGAGGTGGCACCGGAAGAAGCGGCACCGGAAGAGGTGGCATTACTTGCGGAGTTTGAGCCCGAGCCACTGGCTCCACTACCACTGCCTGAAGGTGCGCCGCTTCCTGAGCTGGCTGCACTGCTGCCGCTTCCGCTTGGTTGAGAGCCTGCAGAGCCACTCGCACCACTCGCACCACTCGCGCCACTCGCGCCACTCGCGCCACTTGCTCCGCTTGCGCTTCCACCAGGAGGAGTGGACGAGTTGGAGCCACTAGGAGTGGTCATTGACGCTCCACTGCCTGAAGTGTTTGAACTGTTTCCACTAGCGCTTCCTGAAGAAGTTGCACCACTGGCGGAGCTTCCACTGCCGGCAGCAGATCCACCACCGCCTGAAGTGGTGGCAGAGCCTGATCCTGAACCGCTGGGGGCACTGGAGCTACCACTACCAGCACCACTAGCGGCACTTGAACCAGATGCTCCAGAGGTTTTTGAGCCGCTGGCTCTGCTTCCGCTAGAGGCAGTGGCTGCACTGGCTGACTTGCTTCCCTGAGAGTTGCTGGCACTTCCGCTTCCTAATTCACTAGCTCCACTCGATCCTTTAGAAGAAGAAGCAGCAGCGCTCGATGATCCTTTTCCTGACTTTGAGCCAGGACTTTTACTGCTAGCAGCGTTTGAGCTACCACTTCCACTGGATGCAGATTTAGAGCCAGAAGCGGCCGATTGCGAGCCACTAGCACCACTGGTGGTGGTAGTTGAAGCCTTCGATGACTTTCCTTGAGAGCTTGGATTTTTAAAAGAGGCACTTGGCTGTTTTGAGCTGCCACCTGAAGAGGCACTAGCTGATTTGGAGCCGACACTACTCGCAGACACAGATGCAGATGACTTTTTAGAGCCTTTACTACTACTGGGGCCAATGCTCTCGATGGCCGGCTCATTACCACTTGCAGATGCTTTGGAGGATGCACCGGAAGCCTGTTGAGAGTTGTTGGAGGAATTTTTCTGTGAGTTTTTGGCACTTTTTGAGTTTTTTGACGCAGCAGTGCNCCTGAAGAGGCACTAGCTGATTTGGAGCCGACACTACTCGCAGACACAGAAGTAGATGACTTTTTAGAGCCTTTACTACTACTGGGGCCAATGCTCTCAATGGCAGGCTCATTACCACTAGCAGATGCTTTGGAGGATGCACCGGAAGCCTGCTGAGAACTGGAAGACTTTTTCTGCGAGCTTTTGGCACTTTTGGTGTTTTTTGAAGCAGCAGTGCTCTTGGNATTTTTCTGTGAGTTTTTGGCACTTTTTGAGTTTTTTGACGCAGCAGTGCTCTTAGATCCACTTCCACTAGCAGCAGCACTGGCGGAGGACTTTCCTTTAGAGGATGCTGGCTGAGAAGTGTTTGAGCCGCTGCCACCAGCACTGCCGGTGCCACTAGCTCCATTAGAACCTGAAGCGGCTGAGCCAGACGCTTTACTCTTTGGGCTCTTTGAGCCACCAGCAGAAACCAACTTGTTAGCAGAGGACGTGTCACCACCTTTGCTGGCTTCAGCTCCACTCGGCCCTCCGCTGGCGGCACTCGAGCCATCTTCACCCTTTGAACTTGACTTGTTTTTAGACTGAGAATGATGCGATGACACTTTAGCATTGCCGGACATGCTGGAGCCCTTTTTACTGCCACTTTTGACATTAGCTGCAGCGTTGGAGGACTTTTCTTTGAGGGATGCTGGCTGAGAAACTTTGGAACCAGTGGCACTACCCGAACCACTGCCAGTCCTACTGCCAGTGCCACTGCCGCTGGCTGCACCACTAGCTGATGACTTTCCTTTAGAGGACGCTGGCTGAGGGGCGTTAGAGCCACTGCCACTTGCACTCGCTCCTCCACTGCCAGCTGAGCCTGAAGGCGATCCGCTTCCACTAGCACCTGAAGCACCTGAAGCACCCGAAGTGCCGGTTGCAGCAGCCGACGACAGTGGCACGACTGCAGTCATGGCTGCGGTCANCCCTTTGAACTTGACTTGTTTTTAGACTGAGAATGATGCGATGACACTTTGGCATTGCCGGACATGCTGGAGCCCTTTTTACTGCCACTTTTGACACTAGCTGCAGCGTTGGAGGACTTTTCTTTGAGGGATGCTGGCTGAGAAGCTTTAGAACCAGCGGCACTAGCCGAACCACTGCCAGTCCTACTACCAGTGCCACTGTCGCTTCCACTGACTGCACCACTAGCTGATGACTTTCCTTTAGAGGACGCTTGCTGAGAGGCGTTGGAGCCACTGCCACTGCCACTCGCTCCTCCACTGCCAGCTGATCCGTTTCCACTAGCACCTGAAGCACCTGAAGTACCCGAAGTGCCGGTTGCAGCAGCCGACGACAGTGGCACAACTGCAGTCATGGCTGCAGTCACCGGTGCCTTTGACGATTTGCCGCCCGACTTGCTTGACTTGCTTTCCTTTTTGCTGCCGGACTTCTTTGAGTGTGTGCTGCTCAGCTTCTTCAGCTTACTAGAGCCGGACTTTTTCTTGCTTCCCGATTTGGGCTTAGCTGACCAGCTGGAGACGGTTTTGCTTCCACTGCCACCTTCCTTCTGCTGAGATCCTCCTCCGCTCATGCCAGTGGCATTCGAGCCGGACACGTACTCTGTGGAGACGCTGCCAGGTGTTTTAGAGCCTGAAGCTGGGACCGAGGGCTGCTGTTGCTCTTTGCTACCTGCCGAAGCTGAAGCTGCTTGCTTTGAAGTGGAGGCTTCAGGAGGCGGCGGCGGAGGTTGAGCAGTGTTTCCAGCAGCTGCAGCTGCAGCTGCGGCAGCAGGATCAACTGAGGGCGATGCAGAAGCTCCACTCTGCTTGGATGAACCACTCTTGGCGGAGCCACTCTTGCTGCCGCTGCCACTGTTGCTCCAGGACTTGCTGGCACTGCTCGACTTGCCACTTTTGCTGTTTGCTGCACTCGAACCGGACGCGTACGCTGTGTTCACCTTGCTGGCGCCACTTTGTTTGCTGCCTGCACTGGAGCCGGACGCGTACTCGGTGTTTACCTTGCTGAAGTCCTCCTTGGGCAGCGCTTGCGGCGGAGGCGCCTTTTTACTGGCGGACACATCTGCACCGGCAAAGCCGAGGCACTTGGAGGCAAAGTTGATGGAGTAGACGTTGCTGCCGCCCCCGTCAAAGGACGTCTTGCTCTTGCCCTTGCCCTCCGCCCCCGCTGATGATTTTCCCTTCTTTGAGCTCTTGTTTGATTTGTGAGATTTGTGTGATTTACTCATTAGCAGCTGTTGTTGTTGTTGTGGTTGTTGGTAAAGATGAACAAGAAAATGTAATGAAAAACGAGTAAGGTGATTGGTGAAAACGGTGCACAGTTTCTTTCAGAAAGAAGGCTGAGTGGGCGGCAATTCGCTTAATGTGCACATACTCTGGCAATTGTTGTTGCGCTTATTGTTTGCTTTTGCCACCACTAAAGTGTAGTTTGTAGTTCGACAGAACTGCAAAATTGCATTTTAGAACTTTTTTT